TGAAGTTTTTTTAACATACCAATTTTCTACGGCGATTAAAAAAATTAGCATTTTTATTTAAAACAAAAAAAAATTACGACATGTTTTTTATTTTAATTTTAAATTCTTAATAGATTTTTTTATATTTGATGAAATATAAAATATCTCTAGATTCTGTTGATGTATTTATATAACAGCATCGTTCGTGATTTGTTAAAATGAAGTAATTTAAAACAGCAATTTGTTGTAAGCAGCACGTGCGCAAGCTTCCCCACCTCCGCACTTCGGAGGTTTCTCGAACGGACTTTTGCGAGCTAAAAAACCTAAAATCTTTTTATATTTAAACCAACGGAAAGCAATTTTCGAATCGAGATTGAGCAATAAATTTGTTAATCACTTAGTTTAGCTTTAAAACTGTTTTCCTGAGTTTCAAATAAGGTCTGAAATTCGACAAAATAAAGAGAAACGACGAATTCAGAAAAAGAAAACATCATGCCATTCTAATCCGTAAATATTCTCAGAGATAGAAAAAATATAGACATAGAAAAATATATAGATATAGAAAAAGTCGGTAAGACCTCATGGTCAGAAATTGATGACGTTACGTCATCCGTACAGCGATCACTTCCAAACAACGGTGGTAGAGCCACGCAGCAGCTTTTGCTGTGCACGTATGGGCCGGCTCGAGCCGGGTTAGTATCATGACCTCACAGAATACCGGCGTGAAGTGGAAGCTCTGCTTCTGCGGTTCGTCTGATGAGTGCAGGTGACCGGAGGCCCAATTCCCCCCCCCCCCCCCCTCCATCAACATGGAAGCGGAATTAAATCATAGACTACCCCAGGAGAGTACCAGCACCCCCGGAGAATCCCTCGCTGAGCATCCACGACCATGCTGCTCCACTCCTGAGCGTGAGTGCTCAGACTACCCCGCGTATTGGGGGGGGGGGGACGGGGGGCAAAATTCCGCTCAACACAATAACTGCTCGGAACAAACTGAGCAACAAGACCAAGGCGACCCCTGCCACGCTATCCATGAATTTTTCAACATCAGGGGACTTCACTCGAACCTAAACGCCGTCCACTACCATCCCGAGACAGCGAAACCAGCCTTGCTCTTTCTGACCGAGACGCAGGTGTCCCGTCCTGCCCGAACTTCACGAACACTTCTTTCTGCCCCGGGCTGCAGTTTGCGTATACGTGCGAGAGGACATCTGTTCTCGACGCCTCGGCAGTCTTGAAAGTTCGCACCTGGCCATCCTTTGGCTACGCGTAGATAGTGACGACCATCCACGCATCTACGGGTGCCTCTATAGGTCTCACAGCGGTAATACCGAAATAGACCGACTCATCGACCACATCCAAATGGCTACAGATTCCTTGCTACAATAGGTCCCACCTACAGAGATCGTGATTCTTGCCGATTTTAACGCCTACTACGCCGCATGGCTTGGTTCACATTTAACCCATGATACGGGGAGATCTGTTTATGACTTTACCTTGGCATATGGTCTGACACAACTGGTTTCTTCACCTACGCGGATTCCAAATGTGGAGGATCATACACCTACTCTGTTGGACCTTCTGCTGACCTCTCATCCGGACAGATATCACGTTTCCGTCGATGCTCCTCTCGGCTCTTCGGACCATTGTCTGATCCGGAGTGTGGTGCCACTCACGCTCTCCTCGCGGTTGCGTTCTGCAGATTGCCGCCGTGTTTGGTATAACAGGTATGCGGATTGGGACGGAATGCTGTTGCTGACTCTGTCACTGATGTGGTGCTACAGAAAATGGATCTACTTATTCCCTCATCTGTGGTACCCAACAGAGGCAGATCCTTGAGGCTTTGGTTTGGCTTGGAGGCAGAGGCCTTGGTTTGGTCGCTCCTGTAAGAATGCATTACGCAGTAAACAGGAGTGCTATCAGGCCTGAGCTGTGGCTTCGGCGGCTCGGGATGTAAACACCAGGGTGCTTAAAAAGAAGTATAACTTCGCCTCCAGGTCCTTCAAAAGAGTTATTGCCAGGCAAAGTCAGAGCACATAGGCAGAATTGGCGAGAAACTAGTTCGCCCTTCTTCGGGAACCCGTACATTCTGGTCTCTCGCCAAGGCTGTCCAAGGGAATTTCTGTAAGCCATCACTACCATCTCTGCACAGGGAGGACGACTCACTGGTCCACGCCGCAAAAGAGAAATCTGACCTTTTAGGCTCCCTTTTCGCGTCCAACTCGACTCTTGATGACGGGAGGAACACACCACCGACCATCCCGCAGTGTGAGTGCTCCATGCCGGATGTGCGGTTCTCACAGCGATTGGTCCGCAAATCACTCCTCTCCCTGGACATCTGCAAGTCGAGTGGGCCTGATGGAATTCCGCCAGTTGCGCTGAGGACGTGTGCTCCGTAGTTGGCACAGGTTCTAACGCATCTTTTCCGGTACTCCTACTTCCCAGGCGTAGTCCAGAAATCATGGAAGACAGCTTTTGTCTACCCGATCCCTAAAAAAGGCGACCGCTCAGACCCGTACAACTACAGGCCTATTGCCATCACCTCCTTGTTATCCAAAATAATGGAATCCGTTATAATGGCAGTTTATAACGGATTCCATTATTACATCCAGAAGTCGAGTGGGCCTGACGGTATCCCCCAATTGTGCTGAGGACGTGTGCTCCGGAGTTAGCACCGGTTCTAGCGCGTCTTTTCCGATACTCCTACTCCCAAGGCGTAGTCCCGAATTCATGGAAGACAGCTTTTGTCCACCCGATCCCTAAAAAAGGCGACCGCTCAGACCCGTCCAACTATAGGCCTATCGCGATCACCTCCTTGTTCTCCAAAATAATGGAATCCATTATTAACTGCCAGCTCATCCGGTACCTTGAGAATCAGCAGCAGATTAGTGACCGCCAATACGGTTTTCGTCGGGGTCGATCAGCTGGTGATCTTCTGGTCTACCTGACCCATAGATGGGCGGAGGCAGTAGAGTCAAAGGGAGAGGCATTGGCCGTTAGTTTAGACATTGCAAAGGCCTTCGATCGGGTTTGGCACAAAGAGCTTCTTTCGAAGTTCCCTTCCTATGGGCTTCCCGAGAAATTGTGCAATTGAATCGCAAGCTTTCTTGTAAATCGGGGCATCAAGGTCGTTGTAGACGGTTCATGCTCTGACTACAAGCCTATTAACGCTGGTATTTTACAAGGCGTGCTATCACCAACGCTGTTTCTTCTGCATATAAATGATATGTTGCAAACCGGTAATATTCATTGCTATGCGGATGACAGCACTGGTGATAATCTGTACATCGATCGTGCTAATATTTCTCGAGAAAACGTTGCCGGATACCGGAACAAACTTGTATCTGAAGTCGAGTCTTTGCTGAACAAAGTCCCGGATTGGGGGCGACTAAATCTAGTCCAATTTAATTAATTAATTAACACAAGTTTGCGCATTTACCGCTAAAAAGATCCCCTTTGTCATATCTCCTAAGTTTTAAGGCACTCCCCTTGTTGCCTCAGCCAGTATCGAAATCCTCGGCGTCGACATATCGAGTGACGTGCAGTTTCGTGGTCACTTGGAATAGAAAGCCAAATTGGCCTCTAAAAATCTTGGCGTGCTCAGCAGAGCGGGACAGTATTTCATGCCGGCACACCGCCTGCAACTTTACAAGGCGCAGGTTCGGCCTCACATGGAATACTGTTCCTATCTCTGGGCAGGGGCTTCCCAGTGCTAGCTCCTTCCACTTGACCCCATCCAGTGCAAAGCGGCTCGAATCGTCGACGACCGAGTCCTTTCCGATCGGCTAGATTCATTGGCACTGCGAAGAGATGTTGCATTTCTTTGCATTTTCTTTCGCATTTACCACGGGGAGTGCTCTGAGGAATTGTTCTGATTAATCCCATTCGCCAAATTTCACGAACATACATCGCAGTAGAACTCCCGATATCATCCACATCATCTGGATGATTGGCGGTCCACCACTGTGCGATTTAGAAGATGTTTTCTTCCTCGCAAAACTTCCTTGTTGAATCGATTACCATCAGCGATTTATTCGGACCAATACGACTTAGGGACCTACAAGAAAAGAGCGTACTCCTTTTTAAAAGGCCGGCAACATATCTGCAATTCCCTTGGTTCCCCTGGTGTTGCGGTTGTTCATGGGCGGCGGTAGTCATTTACCATCAGGTGAGCCGCATGCCCGTTTGTCCCCTCTCCTATAAAAAGAAAAAACAAAACAGGACAATCAATGGAAAAAATACTAGAAGATAAGTCTTCTTCTCTGCCTAGGAGTCTTACTGGGTAGGTACCCTATCCCTACCATTGAATTTATAGTTTAAATGAAATATAAAGAGTTGATTTACATCTTCCATAGATCTTGCCCAAAGATTTCCGCTTAGGAGGAATTTTGACATCGTTGTCAAAACAGTTGATCAAAACAGTAGGCAAACGCAGTTTTTTTTATTTGAGTTGTTATTTTGGTATGTTGATATGGCCACCAGTTTGTCTTTGTGTGGGCTCATATTTCTGTTTCCCTATGTCGCCCCTTATGACACCAATGAGACTATATGTGAAAGTCGATATCCTTATACTGTCACTACACTATTTATTGCATAAGGCTATATAAATTTGTGTTTTATTGACAAGAACAAAAAGAAAATCCATCATTTAAATTGGATTGGAAGGATTGATGAGAATAGAAGGCAAAATATCGTAATTTTGCCTCATCAAAATATCGTTACTAAATTAAATAAATAATAAATACATAGCAGCTACGTATTGGTAGGTGAAATGAAGAGCTCCCCACAAGATGGAGTGACGATTTAGTAACTGATGCAGGAAGTCAACGAATTCAGGTGGCTCATAGCCGTGTCCCGTTTTTAGCAATGGGTTTAGGACACGTGAGTTATTATAATTAATCGAAAACACGTATGACCCAAGCAACGGTTGGTTTAATACTCATCTTATCACTAAAATATTCCATGTCTCTATCCATTACATAATGGGCTTTAATGGTGTTGATGTAGCAGTGGCCTTATGGTTAAGTGTGCGTACCGTAAACTCTGAAAGTCAAAGGTTGGAATCCGTCGTTCGACTCCTCCTGTGTTGTACTCAAGTGTAGTGTAGTGTACTCCTGTAGTGAATCACGAAATTAATAAATTATAAAGAAATAAATTTCTTAAATGACTTAATTAATCCACAGCCACCACACAGTAGAGTATTTTTTTTAATTTTAATTAATTTCTGAAATAAATAAAAACATAGTATTAAGCAATATTAAAACCAATTTGTTAACCCTTTGACTTATAATTAAATTTAGTTTGATGCTAGTATTTTTTTTTAAATTTGAAGTACTTATTATAAATTACTAACTTATTATACTTTAGCTAAAACCATAATAAAAACGTTCCTCAATTTCGGTTAAAAAAAGTGTGGTGTACTCGTATTTTTATAGAATGTGTAAAAAGGAAGAAATGGGTGTATGTAATGTACATATTTCTTGCTAATGCTGTTGCCCGTTGAAATCTACATTTATCATCGATTAACAATCAAAATGCAGTTGCATTGTCATCCCAGAGGATAAATGTAGGATGGCGTTTCGTTTCATCAAAAGGTGTGTCCGGCTTTCTACCAGAAAATCGACCGTGAATACAAGCAAAATACAAGATCAAAGTTTAACTTTATGTCTAGCGTACTTTTGTTCCAAATTAAAAAATAGATCACGTTCTTATTCTTAGTCACGTATTTTTCTAAAACACCGCTGTAATGGTGATTTAGTGAGATTTTAGCAGTACTATCGGTAATTACATTTCGTTTATATGTAATGTAAGAAGTTCGAAGTTTTTATCCGAGAAAGAAAGTGAAAAAGAAAGAACTTATGCCACCTTCGATCAAAAAATGCAACACGGTTCGCAATTTCAAATTTAATCTAAAACAATTCCTAATAAATTTGCAAAAGTAGCAAAATTCTGTGCCGAAGTATTACAAATTTTTTATGAAATATACTGTCTCTGTGTTTTATAAAATCAAGAAATACTTTTTTTTATAGAATGTATACATAATATATATCTACATATATTATTATCGATTGCAAAAGGTCGGATCGACCAGGAAAGGAAGACAATCTCACAGAATAGCGTACAATAGCAGCTTAATGCTATTATATTTCGTTTGGTGATTGTAGAGAACCGGCCACCCTTTTTACCAGAAACAAGGCATTCCATCTTAGTTCTCAGGAGTGACAACACATCTACATTTTAATTCTTAATCGAAGATAAATGTAGATGTCTATGGGCCACAGTATCCAGTTACCATCAGGTGGACTGTGCGCTCGCTTGTGACTCTTATTCTATAAAAAAAATATATGGTTATTGTTTTAGACTGTTAGACTGTTAATCTTATCTCAGTTTACCATAAAGAGTATATTTACATCATTTTATAATGTTTTTAATAAATTCTCTGAGCGCGTCACCGGCAAACGCAAGTCTAAGACATTTTTTTTTAAAATAAGGTTGGAGGAGTTATTCCATCAATTCTGCTTAAAGACCCATTAGTATTTAACTTGGATAGGTACATTATTGTTTACAGATTTCTACGATTAAACATAATTTATTTTTTTAATATTTTCTTATATTTCCACGAACACTACACATTGAATAAAATAATCTGATCTCTGAACTAGCTGTTTAAAATCACTTTGAGCGCTGTGGTATAATAATTCCAGAAACAAATTAGTATATATTATGTATGTACAGAACACCTAACAGTAATATTAGTCTGTTTAATGACAAAATTGAGGTATTATTATTTAAGCTTACTATTAGATTAAGATCCATTAATTAAAAAAAAATATCTTAAGTGAGTTATTTAAAAACACAAAAAAAAACTTATGCACCTAACCTTAAATGAACCAACTCAATTAACATCATATTTCGCAACCTGCATTGATAATATTATTATAAATAATTAAAAATACAAAGCTGAAATATGGGATTTGGGTATATCTGACCATACAGTCCGAATAATAAAGATACGTTGTAGTGTAAGTTTCACAGAAAAATACTTGTACAATATGAGACGTAAAATAAATTATTACATTGAAATATTTTTAAAATACATCTCTCAAACAAAATTTGAGGACGTGCATCACTATAAAAAGGCAAACAGAGCTTATGAAGAATTAATTCATTTATTTAAACTTGTATTTGATCTTTGTATTTCAACTGAAAAAGTTAAAATATGGTATAAATAAAGATACGTCCTGGAAAACCAAAGGTATCATAGTCTCAAATAAAAGTAAATACATATATAATATACCTTCAAACAAAATACAGTGGCTCACAGGAACATAAAATTAAATATGTTGGCTGCTTTAAAATCCTACATCGTGTAATAAAAGAGTCTGAAAGAATTTCTAATGCTAAATTTATCTCATTTAGTACAAACAAAACTAAGGCCACATGGGCATTAATTAAACGACAAACCCAAAGTACAAATGTCCTTCAACCTACAGTAGACAACATAGTGTAAAACGACAATGTCATAAAGTCACATGTAAAACTAGCAAGTACTTTCGGCCATTACTATATTAACCAAAACTCTAACACATTAAGATCAAACAACTTTAAACGACAACACAGTTCTAACTCGAAAAGTATGTTCCTTTATCCAGTAGATAAGTATGAAATAATAACATAGTTAAAAAATTACAAAAAAAACAGCTACGGATATGATAATATACCCATTAAGGTAATCAAAGAAAGCATACCTTTTATTGCTGACCCACTTGTACAAATCATAAACGTAATGTTGGAAATGGGAGAATTTCCCAATAATTTAAAAAAAGCTCTCATAAAGCCATTATTATAAAAAAAAGATCACAGCACGAAATAAATAATTAAAGACCAATTGCACTGTTACCGAGTTTTTCGAAAATATTTGAAAAAGTGATATATATCAGAATAACAAAGTTCATGGAAATTAATAATATTCTAAATGTAAACCAATACGGTTTTCAAAAGAATAAAACTACATCTCTGGCAATATATAAATAATTTAATACCGTTTGGAATAAAATCGGTGAAAAAAAAACATTGTGCTGCTATTTTTACGGATATGTCAAAAGAATTTGACTGTGTAAAATATGATATTATGTTAAATAAATTAGAAGGCTTGGGGATAAGAGAACTAGCACTTAAATTAATAGAAAATTATTTATATAATGGAATGCAAGTAACTGTTATCGAGACTTATAATGAATCTACAAAAATGGTTGATGTAGTTAAATATTAATTAAAAATATGATACTGGGTGTATTCCAAGGTAGCATATTGGGGTCCTCTGTATTTCTATTATATATTAACGAGCTCCCAAGTATAATTGCCCACTTATGCGTAATGTGTGACGATGATGCAACTATATTTATTTCTAATGATGACTCGGATGATTTTGATTATGAAAATGAAATAAACAAAACATTGATAACAATTACTGATTGCTGCAATCAATAAACTTAAAAGTAAACCCGTCAAAAACCAAACTTATACAATTTAGAAATAACAAAAGTATATCTGTCAAACTAAATATAACCGTTACTGATATAGCGGTCAAAGAAATAAAGTACATAAATTTTATAGGATTCGAAATAGATCATCGTCTAAACTGGAAATCACGTATTGAAAAAATAAATAAAAAGTTATTCATTGCATGTTTCACATTGTCCATCGTGGCAGAGTGTGTCAGTTTCAGCCTATTTTGGAAGTGTTTATCCACTTCTAACTTACGGTATCATATAGTGGGGAAACTCAAAAGACATACAAACCATATTCGCTCTCCAGAGAAAAATATCTTATAACAACATACATATAACATGCATAGTACCGAATCGTTAAGAGATATTTTCGGAACAAAGGGTTTCCTAACACTGACTGGAATAAACATAAACATAAACACTCACGCCTGTCACCCAGAGGGGTAGGCAGAGATTATGGACTTCCATTTGGCACGATCCTGACACACCTCTCTCGCTTCCTCCACATCCATATACCTACGCATATACCCTCGTCAGTTAAAGGTACACTCTTGATTTGGCCCATTTTTAATATATCGCCAATTTGGTCGATAAACTTTCGCCTAGGGCGACCCTTCCCGACTATGCCGTTCACCTCTGCAACATAAATTTGCTTTGTCACTCTTTCCTCATTCATTCTTTCTACACGGCCAAACCACCGAAGCATTCCTTTCTTAATCTGGGTCACAACATCATCTTGCAAACCACACTCTTCTCTTGGCTTACAAATAGGCATAATTATAGGATGGAATCTCCATCCTATAATTATTCTTATTTGTAAAAAAACAACATGCAATATTTTAATTTGAAATCTGATTCAAAGAAAAACATTCACAAACAATATAAATGTAATATAAGCTTAACTATTATTAGAAAAATGATTTATTATTTATTTTATTTATTTATTTATTTCATAATTATAACATCATTACAGTTATATTAACCAATGCGATGCTATAACTAACCTAAATATAAGAAAACTAATTACTAATAAATAATGACTATAAAATAATGAATAATAATATTAACATGATTATAAAATAAAATACTAATTAAAAAAAAAAAAATTACAATTTTCAACGCATTTGTATGCTGCAATTGTGAACTTCGTCTGACTACATGTAAATATGTCAATATCCTGTGAGATGATATTAACGTAGTGTATGGCACGTGTCAATGGTGCATTCTGAAGCAACTTCGTCCTAGCAGTGGGCACGAAGAGTAACGGGGCGCGGCGACGAGAACACACGTAATTATCAGGTACACGTAGCTTTAGCGCAGCGAGCACTTCTGGGTGATGTATCCATCCACGTAATACGTTCCACACATATTTAATAAGCGCGATGTCTCTCCTCACACTCAGGCGGCTGTAACCGACCATACCCAGTACAAATAGACTCGGATACATGAGTGGAAAACTAGGATAGACTCCGTACTGTTTGAAATATAAAAATCGTGTAAATTTATTTTGAAGTTTTTCGATCATGACACTATATTTGCTTTCATGTGGATTCCAAATAATGGCATTCGTTTCAAGTTGACTTCTTACGAGAGCATTATATAAAATTCTAATAGTAACTACATTACGGAAATCCCTGCACTGCCTTAAGATAAAGCCGAGATTCCTAAAAGCTTTTTTACAAATATTTAAAATGTGGTTACGAAAATTAAGTTCCGGGACCATTTCGACGCCTAAGTCTCTAATGTGTGTAACTCGAGGGATTACGAGGCCGTTCATTTGGTAAGCATAATTATGAGGGGCTTTTGCACGACCATAACTCATGACACAACATTTATTCACATTTAAGCTCAATTTGTTTACTATACCCCACCGTGCCACTCTGTCAATGTCTCTTTGCAAAATTTGACAGTCAGAAGTATTGCTTACTTTCAAATAAATTTTAAGATCGTCGGCAAATAGCAAACACTGTGCCTCCTCAATGACCGTAGGAAGATCATTAACCATTAACATAAATGATAAAGGACCGAGATTGCTCCCTTGACTCACTCCAGAATAAATACAGTACGGTTGCGACTCAAAACCTCCAAAATCCACGTATTGTCTACGTCCACTAAGATAATTTGCAAAAAAATTTAGTAAGCTAGGTGTAAAACCTAACTCGGCAAACTTTACCAACAAAATATCGTTATCAACGGTATCAAAGGCTTTTTGAAAATCAAAATATGCGGTGTCAACCTGGCTCCCAGCATCTACTACTGGCACCACATAATTCATAAAAGACATTAAATTACTCCCCGTACTTCGACCTGACCGAAAACCATGCTGAGCTTCGGTAAGCTGCGGGTACACTTGATTATAAACATATTTATAAATAATCGACTCGAATACCTTAGCGGCTGCAGACAATACGGCTACCGGTCGATATTCATCCACCTTGGAACCCGACCCTCCCTTTAACACAGGAATCACTCGAGTCACTTTCCATATGTCCGGGTAGTAACCTTCTTTTAAACACAGGTTAAAAATATGTAAAAGAGGCAATTCAAACACTGCACAGCAATCTTTTAAAATGAACGGTGGTATCCCATCTGGACCCACGGACTTTTTGGGCTTAAGATGTGTGAGCGCTTCTCGAACATCTTGCACATTTATCCGCCCGATATGAACGCGTGTTGAGCTCAACGCTTGCGCCGCTACTCGCTCCGCTTCTCTCGGATCTAACGTGGGCCGCTCCTTACTATATATTGAATGAAAATATGAAGCAAAATACTCTGCACAGTCCGCATCCCTAATCACTTGCCCGTCTTTCGTAATTTGAGTTCTATTACGTTTTGACTGTTTACTCCTAACGAAATTCCAAAAAGCTTTTGGATCCTCTTTTATATTATTTTGTACCCTACACTGATATGCCTCGTAAGCACACCTTATTTTATTTTTAACTACTGCACGATACCGTGAAAATGATTCATAATCCGTTCGAGATCCTGTTATTTTAAATAATTTATGATATTTCCATTTGAGCCTTATATCTAATATTAAATCAGTTGTATACCAATCAGGGTAAGTATACTTCGCATTATAATTACTTAATTTACGTTTCTTCCAAGGCACACATTTACTAATCTCATTTTTTACATTATCGTAGAAATAAGACAAGGAGGATTTAGCATCCTCTAACAGATATAACGAACTCCAGTCAATTGAATTTAATAAATGATATAATTCGAAGAAGTCACATTTCCTAAAATTCCAACTAGAGCTTTCAATTAATATATTATTATTATTCTGTTTATCATCAGTCATACTGAAAGAGGATCGCCCACTCCTCGCGTCCACTGCCGTGATTTTTATGGTCAGAGGTGGGTGCTGCTCGTCAATATTAACTAAAGAGTCACCAGATAGTGATACCTCCACGTCACTTACTGGCAAAGTTGTTAATACCAAATCTAAAATGCGATTGTTTATATTAAGCACTTCATTTACCTGACGAAATCCACAATATGCTGTAACATACCCAAAATAGTTTTGTATTTCTAATGTCGAAGAAGGCATGTTAAAATCACCGATCACTAATACTTTGTCATATTTAGTACACTCCATTTCTATCAAATGAAATAAATACATATATTCGTTAACATCACATTTTGGCGGTATATAAACGACACAACAAAAGAATAAAAATTTTTCGCTACGATGCACCGTTGCACAAACAATCTCAAATAAAGCCGCGTCCACATTAGCTACAGAAACGCGTTTCAAATCCAGTCTGGAAGATGCAGCTAAGAGGACGCCTCCTTGTTTGCGTCCATCTGCTCGATCACATCGCAGTATTTTGTAGTTTGGCGGAAAAAGTTCACCGTTATGTATTGAACTATTGAGACCTGTCTCTGTAATAGCAAACATATCGCACGAAGAATCCAAAAGACTGGTATAAAAATCTGCTGTTTTTGTTCTCAGTCCCCGTACATTCTGATAATATAGCAGAACAGGTTTAGTCTTGTTATTACCGACTTGCTGTTGTTTTTTGGGTGTTTCGAAACCACACCCATTCATTGTACTGAGTGTTTATTGGCCAGCAATCAGTACAATTAACTTTCTCAAATTGCGATTCGGGAACTCCTATCATAAAAGACGCGTAATCTCTTTTAGTTTTAGGGATAATTTTTTCAACTTTTATATCCTTTGAACTACAGATGCTCTGCACATGTTGAGCTATAGCTTCTTCAGAAGTGTCTGGGTGAAGTGACCAAACGTGCAAAAATTTCTTTTTCTCAACCGCTTGAAACGACGAAATGAGCGTGTTTCCTCCTTTTTGAAATAATTTAGGCTGAGTTTTTCTTACTTTCTTTTTATTAACGACGGTTTTCCAATCGGTTGAATCTTCATTTAAGGTTTGATTGATATCTGTATTTGTTTTAAAACAGTTAGTAGATGTATTTAAACGCTCCGGCTTCTGCAATGTAGTCGTACCCTTAGCCCGAGAACGTTCCGTTGCTCGACGTTCACGATCCGATAACGCTGGGCTTTCTGTACATGTTGCTAGCTCTTTCACACTTTGAGTTATTGGCATGGTAGTGATAACTGCATCGCAACTTTTCTCAGCGCTGCCCAACCGTTCGTCGATTTTAGCTAACAATTTTTCAATTACCCGCTTCTGCTCACTAATTACAAAAATATTACTTTCGATCAGCTGTTTTTGATCATCTATTTTCTTATTTTGCGTCTCAATTAGCACGGATTGCGCAGTAATTATTTTTGTTAACTCTGCTATCTTCTTAGACAACTCATTAAAAGCCACTTCCACGTTAAATTTGGACATTATTACCACTGTATGAAATAAAAATACGGACTTCAAATGTTCACAGGTGACATTATATTCGTATTATGTTATATAAAATAACCTATATTACTGCTATCCTTGCAAACATCCCGTTACCACTAGCTATTAAACAATCAAATGGAAATATTTTCAAACCTAAATTAAGAAAATTGTTAATTGAAAATGTTTTTTTTACAATTTCAATGAGTTTTTAGTAAAAGTAATGTTAGTAAGTAGATAATTTTACATTTATTTCTTCTTTGTTGCATATCCAACATGGGTAGAATGTTGAGACTGAAACGATATGTTTTGTAGTAAGATCATATTGTACACAGTTATGTAATAAATTTATCTTTATCTTATCATTTTACATGGATTTTGCTAAACGTCGGAAATTAAAATAAGTAAAATTAAATGCGACAAAAACTGTGAAAAAGGCTATCATTTTCTATTAGCTGTTTTTTTGTATTACACCCATCGATCACTAATAAAAAACTAGACACAAAATCAATGGCAAAAAATGACCCCATCGAATGAGCGCCCACTTAAACATTTGGATATGCTTTTAATATAGTAGCATTCGAATGCTCTGACGGTAAACATGCTGCAGTACTCGTTTAAAAAGTGTAAAAACCACACATCCAAGACATTAAAACGGGATGGAATTTGTTATTACGGTAAGTATTAATTTTAACATTATTTCATTGTTATTGCTATATTGTAAGTACTGATATTTTTTCAAGGAATCACCGTAAAAGCAATTTTTTTTTCAAATAAACCGTAATAAAATGAGTCGTAATTGTTCGAGTTATATGCGTTGACTTTGTTCTATTTGTGAAGACGCTATTGTTTTTTTTATTTTTTATTAGTAAAATATGATTGTTTTTTTTTTGTTTAATGTGACTTCTTTACTGGTTCTCTAAATATTATAGTAAAACTTTATAGCTTTAATTTTGAATAAGTATATGCATGAAATAAAATTAAAGATGAGAGATTTTGCTTTGTTTTTTTCTTTTAGTTTTCTTCGAGATCCCGTGAGGTGTGGAGAATGGATATTAGTTATAGCACGTTAAAGATCCGAATAATTCTTCAAGCCGACCGAAGGAAGCATTGTATGTTCGAAGCATTTTTTTAGAAAGTGATGAATTCATGCTCTTTAATATTTTGTTCAGTTATTTATGCACATGAATTATTATTAATGTTTTTTGTTTATAGGAAGCAAGTGATCATGATGTAGAAGATGAGTCTCTTTTTTGACAAAAAATCGATTGATCAATGTTGCTTGCAACCACATATAAGTAGTTGTAATTATAACAATGATATTTTTATTTATTAATATTTTACATTGTATGTTGATCAACTATAACTTCAATTCGTAATGAATTTCACAGACAAGAAGGCAAAACCTTAAAAATATTTTGTTTTGTTTTTATATGCTATTTTTTTTAAATTTTAAAATGTTGAGCTGATTTGAGCTGCGTATATTTTTTTTTTATTTTTTTTTTAAAAAACGTTACCCCCACACTAGGATTTTCTCCTGTATCGTGGAGGCAGTTTACAAACATATATTACACAAGGACAAACATCCAGACCCGGAACAATTATTTGTAGGCCATACAAATACTTGTTCCGTGCGGGATTCGAACCCGCGGCCCCCAAGCGTTGCAACTCATTGCTAAGCCACTACGTCACGGAGCCGACATATGTTTATACGAAAAATGTTTGACACTTGCCTACCTCACCAGAACTTTATGCAACTGTTCGACTCCACTTATTCCTTGTCCAAGCGACGAGTCTCGGTCGTAAAATTTTATTAGTTTTTATTGGCACTTTGTAATCCTGACTTTAAACCATGCATGTAAGGTTGAATTTGTTTTATTATAGGTTGACCGGCAGGTATCAGTCATAAAAATTTATTGCTTTTTGTACGTAGATTTTTAAATACAACTTTAGGCAATGCATTTAAGGTTTAATTTACGAGTACATTAATGTATATTTATTTCAACTAGAATTACGTCAAAACATTTGGAGAACGAGACTTACGCAACTTCAATACAGCTTATATTGAAGAGGCGATCGAGCGGAACCAAGGCTCCAAAATCTTTGTCAGAGATCTGTCTGCAGGAAAGAGCCAACTGTCAAAGCTTAAGACCGAGTGGGATAGCTGAGATTTTGTGTGAGATTAAGAGGTTCTATGGGCAGCTGTACACGTCGTCGTTGGAGCCACAAGCAAGTGTGAGTAACGATTCAAGAGCGAGTCTTATCCGAAATTATTCCGAAGATATCCCGGACGTCAGTCTGAGACGGCAGCCTGTCAACGGATAGGTCTTAAGATGAACATGGACAAAACAAAGATTTTGTACGTGGTAGGTAGAGCCATGCTACAGCTATATTACGGGTAAAGTTGTAGTACGAATGGGTCGGCTCGACCGGGGAAGGACCACGCTCTCACAGAATACCAGCGTAAAATAGCAGCTTAACGCTGCTGTGTTTCGTATGGTGAGTGTAGAGAACCGGAGACCCTTTTTTACAGGAAAAGATGCATTCCATTTTAGTCCTTAAGGGTGACAACGCATCTGCATTTTGATTTGTAATCGAAGATAGATGTAGATGTCTATGGGCCACAGCAACCACTTACCATCAGGTGGACTGTGTGTCGTTTGTCATCCTTATACAATAAAAAAAGATCACTTTAATGTCCATGTTACACCTACGCCGGTAGTTCTTGGGAGCACTAAGCTCGAAATTGTTGACGAGTATGTTTACCTGGGAAAAATAGGCCGACTAGGGAAGTGTAACTTCGATCGTGAGGCCAATCCACGGATTCAACTCAAAACTTGAAAACAATACTGTACAACCAGTGCGTGTTGCCAGTGATGACTTATGGAACTGAAGTGGCAATGGGCCGGCCATATAGGTCGAGGAACCGACAACCGATGGAGAAAAAAGGTTCTCGAGTGGCAGCCTCGTACCGGTAGGCGAAGTGTAGGGCGACCCCACACTAGATGGAGTAACGACCTGCTAAGACATGCAGGAAGTCGATGGATGCAAGTGGCTCAAGACCGTGCTTTGTGGCATTCCTTGGGGGAGGCCTATGTACAGCAGTGGACTTGTGAAGGGCTGTAATGATGATAATGATGATTATTTGGAGAACTTTTGCATGGGATTGTACACCTAGTTTTTTATAAGTTAGTGATGATTACATCCGTAAATTCTCAGAAATGATTGCATAACCTTAAAAATAATGTTCTGGGCCTGGTTGTTTGTTTTTGTTCAAATTATGTGTGAAAACGCCCCCAAGACACAGAACGCAATTTCAGAAGCATATATGTTAAGTTATGAAAACATTAAGGGTAGTTATATGTATTGTTATGAATAATAATATTGTGAGAGCGGATGTTCTATTGCTTACGCAATTAATCATTCCATATAAAATTGAAGTGTCAGTCTGTAATATTGAAATAACTGTCTCTTATAGAGCTTAGGGGATTTTTGCATGCTATTAAGACATATAACCATATAATCATAATGATTTCTTATATTTACGCGAATACTACGCATTGAATAAATCTATATTTACGAATTTTATTGCGTTTAATTTATTTATTTTAATTCCCGACGTTTCGGGTGCTTTACTCTCTTAGTCACGGGAGGTGTTTGAGGTGTCCTGATATCATAGTTAGCCCGGCTACCTTCAGTTTTTGAATATTTTTTGTGTATCCGATCTACGCAGAATGAACTTATGGGTTTGGATTTAATTTTATTAATTATAGCATCCCAAGCAGATGGCAGTAACCATCCATCTTCTTTAATGAAATTAGGGTGTTTTTTAATTTCAATAGCCCCGCAAATCATCTTTGGTATGAATCGGTGTTCTTTCGCGAGGATTTGTAGTCGATCAACTCTAATGTAATGGCGGGAACGATCTTAAACATGTAGACTGCAGACTTCCCGGAACGTTGGTGCTTCAAGTCAGCTATATGAACATATAGAAGATCATAGTGCTCTTCAAAATAGGTAAGATACAGAATTTTATTTTACTACCCGGATCTTAGCTTATTAATTTTTAACATATTTAATCTACTGAATTTCCACAAAGTAATGCGCGATTGTGTAAGTTTTTTTTTTCTTTAAATTTATAATTTACCTTTATCATACACTGTTGTGTACTACCTTTTCACATTGTTTTTTTATTTTTATTGTGATTGTTTCATATAACTTTAAATTTTGATTTTAATTCTATGTTAGATAAAAGTAAAAGACCAAGTCACACTTTCGTTTTTGAAAGCACAGAAAAACAGCCTATTCTATGCAAATTCATTATCTCACAACTTATGGGAGAAACTCAAGTTGCAGGTCGTTTGAAAAAATTTGAAACCTATAAATTCTTTCTCCGTTCTACTTTTAGGAAGAAAAAACCACGCGATACATTTATTATCAGATTGAAAAATTGTGAACAACATGCGAGGACATCACTAAGTTTTCTTTAAAATTAGAACAAATTTTAACAAAAGTCCAGTCAGATAATATACACTATAATTGCAAAAACCCTGAAAAACTTCCAGGTAGAATAGTCGCCATGGAGGATCTAGCATTAAATATATTTCTATCAGAGTTAAACCCTGATATTTCCACTTTTGTTAGATGTATAAACAGACTTTAAATGAAACTGTCAAATTAGCGCAAGAAGGAGAAATATTACAAAATCTAGAAAACGTGTTCGAAAAATTAAATAATTTTTTTATGTAATAAATACTAAATTATTATTAAATATTGCAACTCAAGGTTTTAAAAATAAAAAAATATTCAAAATTTTATCATAATAAACAATTTCTCCTTTATCTAACACTAATATAGGTACTAATATGCACCTTTTGCAAAAACATAGGGCACGTCATTGATTAATGTAGAAAGCGAAAATTTTCTACGTGGTAGAGCCATGCTGCAGCTATATTATGGTTGTAGCACGAATGGGTCGGCTCGAACGGGGAAGGACCACG